ACAGAGAGAAAGAAAAATGCCTTATGGAGTAGTGGGAGAGAGAAAAGAAGCAGACAAATAATATAGGACAGATTGAAACAAAAAAAACCAACAAAAACAAAAAATCCCCCCAACCTGCTGGATTCAGAGGGAAATAAATACACACTGGAAAAATAATTCCCTGGAAAGTGCATGCTGGGCAGTCTCAGGAATCTTGCTTTCTCTAGGCAATACTATGTACAAAAATGATTTTAAAAGTCAGATGCTTTTGAGGATGTTTACTCTTCAAGGAATGTCATGTCACAAAAGGAGGAGTCATCTCAGGACAGACCTTACACTCTCTCTAGGTAGACACTTTCAAATTTTTTTCTTTCTATTTTTCAAAGACACAGACTTTTCTCCAGTTTCTCCAAACAAAAGGCATTTCACATGTTTACCTGTTTCTCAAACCAGATTTTAACCAGAAGTGAGAGATCTGACAGAACAGATTCAACAGAAGGGTACTGGCATGAGCCAAAGACTAAGCCTCTGGAGTGAGTAATCAGCTTTAACACTGCCCAAGTGTGAAACAGAAGCGAAAAGGAGACAGAGGAAATGCAATTTTGTGACAATGCTGCTAAAGTTGGGCTTGCTTTCTCATGAGGTACTTGGTCCTCTCCGGGCAGCTCCTCTCTTACTGTCCAGGAAGAGCTGCTAACAAGCTCCCACCGGGTGTAAATGAGGACTAAGCCCCTGTCTGGGAGATGTGCTGCCACAGAATGGGTGGCTTTGTCCCAGTGTGTAAGATATGCTTGCAGGCTAAGGCACACAAAATGTTCCTCTCACACATGAAAAAGGGGCTGAGTGTGAGTGGGAGGACTCCAGAATGCAACAACAGAACAAAGAATACAGGGAGCAGCTGATCTGCTCCCCTCCTTATTAACAAGTTTGGCTGTGGCAGACAACACTGAGCTGGTGAGCATTAACATAGAGAGGGCAAGCTTCCCATTGCCCATGAGGAATGAAATCTTTGCTGAGAGAGCAGAAGCCACGTTCTTCAGCAAATTAGATGCATCAGCTGGGGTTTGGCAGAACCTCCTGAGCAAAGGACTCCAAATCTGCACTTAACCACTCACTTGGACAGTCTTTCAAGAGATCTTGAGTGTTCCTACTATGGACACTCACACGTTGCAACGTTAGGAAATCTTTCTGCAGGGAACACACATACCGATAACCTAATGCTTCTATGTGGCATAAGGCTTGACTATTTAGAAATGTTTTGGAAAGCATCAGAAATAGGACCCACAAAGATAAAATGAAAGACAAAATACGAAGTCAGAGATGTGAGGTACACCTTGGTGGTGATGTGGAACATCCTAGCCATGCCGGGAGTACAGACTGACCATCAGAGAGCACTCCTTCACACAGACACAGGTCAGGTGCATGCTGAGCTCAGAGCAGCTGGAATGGGCTATGAGATTGGAAAGCTAAAACTGATGATGCTAACTTGCGCTTTCAGGAAAAAAATGGCACAAAAAACCACCAGGAAAGGGTAGCACTCTATGTAAAAATATGCTGCTACTGGCTATAGACTTTTCAAAACCACAGTGCTTCACAACTGCAGTTGTAATGAATAAAACTGAAGGAGAGTTGATTGGCACACACTGAATCATTAAACTATTGGATCTTACTAAATAACAGGACAAACTGCTCTTTATGTAGCAACCTAGATCATGTAGGAAGGAAAAGAAGTAAAACAGAGGACATTTAATATACATTTTGTGCAGTCAGTAATACAAAATATCTGCTTCTAAAAATAACACAAAACATTTTCTTTACAGATGTGAATAATACACACTGTAAGTCTTCATGAAACTTGACAAGGAAAAAATCACACAACGCTGTATTTTTATAAATCTTAAACAAATGGAGAAGTTTCTATGAATCAAAGAGTTACCACTTCAACTGTGTTTTATAAAGTGGAAAAGACCAGTTATTCTGACACATTCTCTAGCCAAGCAATGGAACAACTGGTTTCAGCTCTCTACCAGCAGTAACTTGGAGGATTTAGCAGTATTCACTTTGGCATGCAAAACCAGACTGAGCAGATGATGCATCTTGATTGCATAAGATTAAAACAAAGGGCAGATAATTAAATATGAAATATGCTTGCAGGATGGTGTCATTTCTCTCCTTCATTCGCATCTCTACAATTTTAAACAAAATAACTAGTGGTTTCATTAGGAAACAATTGCAGCATTCTCACAGTCCCATGCAGGCAAATAGCTGCAGTCTAGTTTTACTGTTCTTACACCCACAGAGAATTCTGTTTTGTTTTGACCTCTCATTACTTTCCCTCACACACTTGGCTCCAAACATCAAATTTTGCCTCAGCCATTCAACAGTTATTCCTTTGGGCTGGTTTTTTTTCTTACCATTATGCATTCATATAGAACAGCTGGAACTAAGAAAAAGCACAGTTAATTATTTCTAAATTTCCCAAAGAAAACCTTTTTACTTTTCTTCAGTTTGAAATTACTTTTTGGTTTGAGGAAGAAGAGAAAAATTGCCTCACATAAAACCTTGCATAGATCTCAAAAACTTAATGGAACATTTTAGCTTAAAAAACAGTGTAATTTTTGAGAAGGAGGTGGGTTCAGGTTTTCTCCCTTTTATTTCTAAAATAATATAAAAAGTCTAAACAAAGCGATTGTTGTGTCTTGAGGGGGGAACTGATTTCTTTTATTATGACATGAGAACCACAAGAGAAGAGAATCTCTATCCCTCAAATACCAAGCAAATCTGTGCAAATCTACTTGCTGGGTTAGCCTATGAGCCCCAGCCAAGTAAGAATGGAAGAACCACCCAGAAAAAAACAAGACCAAAAACGGGCAACACCTGCCACATGCTCACAAACTAACAAATGGTTTTGGGGCAGATCAGGGGACATGGAGCAAGGTAGAGAGCAGGGAATTCTGAGTCTGACCAAGGGGAGAACAGTCAGGTATGAGGTAATATTGGTAGGAAAGAGTCTTGGTAAGGTAGACAAGTCAGGACCGACCATGAGGTTTTTTGGATATCGACGAGTCAGAATCTGCCTCTGGATTTAACACTCCGCTCCAGAAAAAAAATCCCATCAAAATTACCTTCAGGGCACCTCTGAAAAAATCCCTGACTCAAACAAACTATCCCTGACTATAACAAACTATGTATGGCTCTGCCCTAAGCTTCTTCTTTATAAGTCACAGAAATGACTTAATATCTGGACTTGTTTATGAAAGAATATCTAATTCTATCCAAATATCCAGTTTTTCCTACACTTATAAGAAAAAAGGAACTGAATGAGATTAGATAAATGAAACCTTGGCTATCCATTCATATTGTGGAATTGCAGAGAGATATTAACATGAATTTCTCAACTTATGAAATGGAGGAGATGGCATTAACTCTTCCACACAGGCAGGTCATCCTCTCAGCTCTTTGATGGGTCTTTGAGTTCAGCAGATTTAACAAAAGCAAAGGCAAGAAACAATAAAGCATTGGCAGCATGACCAAGCATCCTCCGCCTCTTAGTTACAAAATGACAAACCTGTAGCTACAATTACAGTCTAAGTCATTATTGCAATATTTCTCTAGATAAGCCTTTTCCAAAAGAAGAGGCTTTAGATCACCTATGTCTAATAAAATAGGCAAGCAGAATTAATATAAAAATATGAACCTTTGAGCTGTCACCATACATCCTGAACCAAAACCACGAGGCAGATGAACATTTCTTTTTGTTTTGCAGTTAACTTTAAATAATATGTGATGTGGTCTGACCTGGTAAAGCTCCTACTTCTCCTTATTGGTTGATCCCCAAACTCCATAAGCTGAAGGAATAACAAAATTTGCTGTATTTCTACATGCATTACAGTGTGAGTCACAGCTAAACCATGCTCAGAATGAAGTATTCCCTGTAGGTGGTGTGTAAACAGCTAATTTGGTGAAAAGATGTTATGCTAAAATGATCAACCATCAATTCTATGAGTGTATTGTACACTATTGGTGTATATCAGATTTCTTGACCTGTTTTGGTGGCACATAACTTCTGCAAAGACATCACTTTGAGAATTGATTATTAACTTTAATCCATTTTAAAACTCTCAATACAACATTTAGAAAATTTGTTCTTGAACCTTTCCATGGGCAGATCTTTACAGGGGCTGCACAGCTAGGAACACCCTGCTGACCGAGGAGGTGATAGGGCATTGATATAAGCAATATTCCAACTGGTTATTAACTCATTACAAAGTATTCCCCACGCCTGGCAACTGCTGCACCAGAGCTTAGCATGGAATACACGAGACAGTGATGCCAGGGCTCTGAAGCCAACATGGCTTTAGCCTCTTGCTGAAAGACAAAATACTTGGGGTTGCTAACGACTACTTGAAAGTCCCAGAATAAACCATCTCATCATCATGGCCCAAGCACCACTAAAAGCATTCTGTTGTTCTTACTTTTTCCAGTTAAAACCAAAAGCACTCAGAACCCAAAATATTTTTCCTTTGCTCCCAGAGCCAAAATGCCAAAAATGCTGTTTAGAGGTAGCTTGATCTCTACCCCAAGAAGAAGGGACCAGCTGCTCCATCTTTTTTTCACAATGCTCGCTACACTGTGGTGAACTAAGCCATGCAGTGGTTTGGGATCCACAACCACCAAGTCTTGCATTACAAAAAAAAGGAAATAAACCCTCCAAGGAAGAATGACTTCTAACTCAAAATTTCCCAGAGTGGCCCCAAGCACTCATCAGAAGAGACACAGGGAGAGAGCACTGAATTAACAACTGAAGCATAGTGCAACATAATTTCAGTTCTTAAAATAATCAGGCTGCAATACCACATGAAAAATCCAAGAAGCATCTGCAATGACATTCCATATTTTCCAGGAGAAAGAGGAGACAAATGGAGGAGACTGCACAAAGAGGTGTCAGACTCTGTATTAGCAACACAAGAGGCCCACTGTACAAAGCCCTTGTATCAGCCTCTGGTTGTGCACTCACTTACCTGACCAAGGGCAGGGAGTGCTGCATATCCCACGGGCTGATTTATCATTCCTTTCTGCTTCATGATGAGCATGCGTTTCTGCTCCTCGCTCAGGTGTGCCACGTGGGCTGGCACCTGGGCCTGCTGGGCCTGCTGCTGCTGCTGGATGTAGGGCACCATGGTGTTCTTCCCGGGGTTTGCCATTGCCGGGGCCATCATCTGACCCAGCTCAGTGCTGAAATGGGTCAGAGGTTTGGTGTTGCCATAAGAAAGCAGATTGGGCTGCTTGCCCAAGGAGTTTGTGACCAAATTATTTGGCTGCTGACTGATCATGTTCATATGATTTTGAGGGAGGTAGTTATTGATTGTGGTCTTCTGGGGGTTGTTTGCCATAGGAGGCACTACAGGGTTTTGGTTGTTAAAGGCTTGAGAATACATCATTGGGCTATTTGGTTTGTCTGCACTGAAGGGTGCTCCGTAGGGACTGGATGGAGGCCCCCCTGGTGACCAGCTTGAGGGCTGATTTGGGTGCTGCTGCTTCTGCTGCATGAGCTTGGCCCTTTGCTGCTGCTGGGCTGCCATCTGCTTGAGCTGCTCGGCTGGGGACAGGTCAGCGCTGGGGCCAGGCCCTGAGCCCGCCACGGCCGAGGCCGCGCTCATCAGGAAGCCATTCCCGGAGCGCCCCTGCGTTTGTCCGGGAGTGTGGGCCTGGCCGGGGGTCTGAGGGGACTGCACCACACAATTTGCTGGAGAGCCAGCAGGGACTGGGGCCAGCGGCGCGCTGGATGCTGAGGCAACGCTGGAGCCTGAGGAGATGTTGGAAAATGGAGGACCGGAAGAAGATGGTCTGACCTGGGGAGATCCCAATGGGACATGAGTGAATGGAGAATGGGATGGATCACTTTTCACGCTCGCGCTCTCCTGAGTCTCTGTGGCAGGCCTGGGATATTCAGGCTCCTTCTTCTCTTCAAAGTCTTCATTGAACAAATCCTGTATATCATCTTCTGGGACGGTGTTCGCCAGCTCGTCTATGAGCTCCTGCCACTCCTGATCATTTAGGTTAATGTCTGAGAAGAGCTTGTTCTGATTGGAAAGAGATGTTTCAGAAGTGTCTATGCAGTTGGAGTCATCCAGGGGCTCTTGCTTTAGCTCCTTGTTGTGCAGGATGTTAAAACCATCATCCAGCTCGCTGCAGCCGTTAACAGGGAGCTTTATCTCAGAAAGCCCACCGTTTTCACCCAAGTCTTCCAGACTACTCCTGTGAGTTCCACTGTTCTGCAGGAGCACAGGAGCTTTCATGTCAAGCTGGTGAAGAGGAGAAACAGCAGGCAAAGGCAGATTAATGGGCAAGCTGTTGATTGCCTCAATGCCTGGCCCATCCTTGCGTGTCCGCTTGCTGGTTGGAGAAAAGCCCCCATCGCAAACTCCATTCTGCTGCTCTCCATTGAGAGGTGAACGTGCGCCTTCCAACTTCCTTTTGACTGTCTCTTGAAGCTTAAAGAAAACAAGAGGAAAGGAAAAAATTAACCATTTGCAGACGCAAAAGAAGTGCTCATGGGCACTGTGACAAGAGGCTCCTCATCAAGCCAGTGACAATAAGTTTCAAAACTGGTTAGGAGGTTTCTCTGATTTCATTCTTATGCCTCGATCACTTTGAAAACACAGTCTAAAAACCCCCCAACAACCAAACACTTCCCACTGTCCCAAACCAAACCTTCCTTTGACTAGGAAAGCAGAACTGTAAAATATGTCTGTGCTTTCCAAGCTGAATCTGTGCTAGCTTCCAAGAAATTTAGGGAGCAAGTTGACTAATTTGACATTTTAGTGCCTAATACAGGGATAAGATTTAAACAGTGTGCCTAACACAGTGAGGAGTCTTAAAATGGAATTTTAAAAAAGAGAAAAAAGGAATCACTAAAACTTACTAGTCACTCCAAATTTTTTTGTTGTTGTTGGAAGTTTCTAGAAGCTTCTTAAAAAAGTAACTGCAATATAATTGATTGACTACTTATATTGAAATGTGTTGTTGACAAAAAAAAAATTGCATAGTTTCATTTGCTTAGCCCTATGTTCTTGGCTAACACATTGAGAATCACTTTTAAGGGAGAAAAAAAAAATCCACCCTAGAAAACAGAAGGTGCTTTGCATAACTTTAACTCAATCAAATAATGAAAAAAAAAAAAGGAATCAACTATGTGACTATGTGCTAAGGGCTAACATAAAACATAAATAGCTAACAGAAATAATGGCCAGGCAAGTCTACAGAAAAGCAAATAAATTGGAATATAGGAATTTTATAAAAAAATAGTGTATTAACATCAGTTTTGAATCTGGTTGTAGAAGCATAGCAAAGAACTGCAGCAAGCAGCAGTCCTCCCCACTCACACCCAAGCAGAGTCCTTTACTTATGTACCAGGCTAAAAAAGCGTCTCTCTTCACTAAGGCAAAAAACAATAGTGGGGAGGGGAGGAAGCAAAGAGGTCACAGCTCCAGCAAACGCCTTCAGGACACGCTTGCATCCTTGATACTAGAACAATAGAAGACAAAATACTGAAAGATTTTATCAGTTTTTAAAGTATTCTTACTGGTAGGAAAGTCCCAGATATGCAACTCCCACCCCTTCCCTAACCTAGAGGTCCTCAACCTTCTTTCTTCTCATAATCCAGATCTCATTTATTTCTCCCCTCCCAGAGGGCTGGTCCCCCTTTCATCCCATGCATAAGATGGGCAAGCAAACCCGTATCTTGCCCGGGTTCTGGGAAGGCTGTGCCCTTCTCTTGCCCCTCTTTCATCACACAGTGCAGAGGGATGTGGCCAGCACAGGCATTGCTGCAGCCACAGCTCAGCGTGCATGGGACACCAAGCTACTGTGAGGCTGCTCTTTTGCAGAGAGCCAGGCAGAAAGACAGTGCCATGAGCCTAAGCAGACCATCAACTCCTTGATTTTCACTGGAGCAGATCAGCTTTTTAATGTGGGAAGTCACTGTTGGCATAAGTGGCCAAGACTTTACTGCCTGTTCCACCCTGCACAAAGCCAGTGTGTGCCAAGCCTCCTGCAGGCAGAAATTCCTCCCCTTTGTGCTTCTGTGGTGCCACACAGACCAGCTGCCCTGTAACCACAGCCTCTGCCCCATGGCTGGGCTCCCCTCTCCAGTGTCTGGTCTCAAAACCCTGAATTTGGAGAGGTGTGGATGCTCATCTTGGAGATGAGAAGGTTCTGGGCAGACCTTTATAGCACCTTCCAGCACCCAGAGGGCCTACAAGAGAGCTGGAGAAGGACTTCTACAAGTGACAGGACAAGTTTGAAATGGATTCAAACTGACAGAAGGTGGGTTTAGGTTAGATATTAGTAAGAAATTCTTCCCGGTGAGGATGGTGAGGTGTTGGCACAGGTTGGTCAGTTGATGTAATGGGTTAAAATAGCATATTTATGTAAATGTAAAAATAGTATACTTAAATACTGCCCTTAATGGGCCCCTCCCACAATTTACAGCTGAAATCACCCATTTCAGCTCCTAAGCCATCACACTGCAAAGTCCCTATTGCCACAGCAGAAAAACTGCATTCCCCCAACAGCAAGTGACTCAAGAGTGAGCCCAATGGGAATGCTCAGGCAAAACCAGGATTTGAAGAAATGTTCAAAATGTGTCATGGCCCTTTACCCCAACTTCATATTGATCAGTGCTGGGATAAAGTAAGAACAGGACATGGTGGCAGGCTTCTCATCATGAAGTAAAGTTCTATAAGGAAAATATGGGGGAAAAAATTCCCTAATGACAAGGCAGGGACCAGTGAGAGTGATTATCTCCTGAGGAATACAAGTGAACTGACTCCATACATTTTGCAAGTTTGAATGAATACTCTACAAAAATATTGGTGAGAGTGATATGCTTTAACATGGTTTCACACTTCCAGGTTTTAAAACATTTACCATTTTATCCTGAATCTATCACCTTATTTGTATATGAATATACAAATTCAAAAGAATTTTCCAAAAAAATCAAAACTATCTAGTGGAAAATAACCAAATAACCAGCCCTAAAAATATCAGTTCCTAAAGTTTCATCATGTGCTGGAACTTGTATGTCCCCCTGTACAAATAGACAGTGACTTTAGCCCAGTATATAAATATTCATAATCATGTTATTATGCATTACAACAAAAAGCAGCTTGACATGAAAACTATTTTCTATGAAATATGAAACATACAGAAGTCGTGCTTTTTTGTAAAAAGAAATTAAATTAAATCTATTCTAATTTTGTTTATCCACATCGTTCTCCTTCAGAAGCTTTTGGATTTGGGGGGGCTAACAGGCACTAATATTTTTGTCTTCTTTGTTTGCTCATTGAAAAACTGTAGGTAGACAAAGACTTAATGTGAAAGGTTTGTTAGAAGGCAACATGCTGGGGAAGCCTCTTGATTCCAGCATTTTGGGGGAGTTGGGAGCCATGACAATAAATGTATCTCCTTTTTTTTGAGGTACAATGCAGAAATACTCTTATCAAATGATTTTAATGAAATATTTCCTTTTCATATCTTGATTTAATTCCCAATCACCATATGAACTCTTGAATGGTTTGGATATCCTACACTGAGCATATACTGGCAAACAGTTTACCACAATCAGGATTCCAGAGTGTCTTAGACTAAAACCCCAGCACTTCCCCTTCCCTCTATAAACACAATCCCTGAAGTAAAATAGTACCTTTTAAAGTACCCTCTCTCTCCTTCTCAGTACAAGCACACAGTTTGTGCATGTTTTATGGCATGCATTGTGAAGATATTAGCAGGAGCTGAGAGATTTAGGTCTCGGAACAGAAGATTGTTGACACATAGAATAAAAACAAAAGGAAAATATCAAAATCAAAGGAAAATATTGAAATAAAACAACCCCCTTTCAGCTTCACAAACTTTTAGCTTTATTCACACAAAATACTTGGCTGATGAATCTTCATTTCACTGCTGTTTTCTACCCCAAAGCACAAGAGGGGGAAGCAGGACTATCAGTTCTTTATAAGCCTTTGAAAAAACTCTAGTCGCAGACTGAGAAAAGGTCAGATTTTGGCAGGTTGACTTTTTAAATGGCTCTCGGTTGGAGGAGAGGCAGGGGCACAGAAACACAAACACACACCGAGCTGAAGGGTTGGGATGCAGCCCATCCTGAAACCCTGGCCAGCGCTGCTCGGACAGGCCGTGGCAGAGCCAGCAGATGCACGGCAGTGTGGGGAGGCTGTGGCAGGGCTTTCATCAGTGAGGAGAGGCTGCTGCGCTTCATCTCCCCAGCAGCAATCCATCTCTCAAAAGGAACGAGACAGAGGTGCAGTTGTTATAGCAACAGCCGGGCCCATCCTCCACCAGGAGCTGCCTTGGTGGGCGGCTGCTCCAGCCCCAGCGCACGGCAGGGACTGAGGCTGTGGCACCAGAACATCCTTTCATTGCTCCTCAAAGAACAGCACAAAAACCAGGGCGAGGCGGGGAGCCGAGAGGATAAATTCTCTCTATGCCCTGTTCACAGGGTCTGACACAGGTCCACTGCTCCTCTGAGCCCCCAGAGCAGGAGGCTGATGTCACTTTGTCACGTGTTTTTGTGTACCAGCTGCATGCAGCCACTGACTTTCCTCTGCCTAGGGCAGCTCCAGCAGCTTCAATACAAGACAAAGGCAGCAATTCTGAGAGGTTTGGTGCACTTGGCTTCCCAGCTCTGCTGGAATGTGCCCTGCTCTGGAGTTATCTTTGGGCTTTGGCTAGTTTCTCTGCTTTCCCACCAGGAGCAAAGTCCATCTCACTCAGAGGATATGCATGGTTACAAAAAACAGGGCTTATTATCTTCTCCACATGCTCTTCTGAGACTCTTTCTGTTAAAAATTGATCATTTCAGTTCTTCATGTTGAATCAGTCTGGCCCACCAGTCACCATGACCTTCAGTTCCTTTCCATGAAATGAATTTAAGTCTTGGGTCTTCCTCTAGGGTTTCTACTCTCCCTCCCAACAGTGTGACCATGTTCACAGGGGTCTTAGGATGAGGGAAGAGATGAGGATCTGACTCCATGTTTCAGAAGGCTGATTTATTATTTTATTATATATATTACATTAAAACTATACTTAAAGAATAGAAGAAAGGATTTCATCAGAAGGCTGGCTAAGAATAGAATAGGAAAGAATGATAGCAAAGGTTTGTGACTCGGCTCTCTGTCCAAGCCAGCTGACTGTGACTGGCCATTAATTACAAACATCCAACATGGGCCAATCACAGATGCACCTGTTGCATTCCATAGCAGCAGATAATGATTGTTTACATTTTGTTCCTGAGGCCTCTTGGCTTCTCAGGAGGAAAAATCCTAAGGAAAGAAATTTTCATAAAAGAGGTCTGCAACACACCAGTGTGTCTGTTCCTGAGTTTTCCCCCTCTTTCTTCTCCCTTCTTCTCCTAGAGCTTCTATAGAAAGATCTTGGTACTTCTTACCTCCAACAGGGAGTAGTTACCATGAGCTCTGCCAAACACCCCCCCCAATTCAGCAGTCTCCAGCCTGTACCCTAAAGACTGAGCAAAGTTTCCTACTTAACTTCTTGTGCTGTGCTTAAATCCTATCAACAATTCAGGAAGTGTCCCAGGGGTGGCTATGAAGTGACACTAAGCAAGTGGATTTGACATGACAGCATCTAAGATCAGTAAGGAATAATCAGCATTTCCATTTGCATGCCAGAAATTCAGCTTCAACCTTTGAAAGGATTTTTTGCATGCACCTCCTTGCTGTATCACCTCTGACACTGCCATTCAAAAGCCAATGTTGCCTGAGGTACAGCCACATCTTGTCACCAGTGTTTTAAGCCTACCAGCTCCACAGCAGCTTCCCAATGACACTTGCAGTGTCCTGCAGAGATCTGTCTCATTTAATCCTGCTTTGGCCCAATGGGGTAAACACTGGCAAAGCAGTGACCTCATTGCAGTGCCAGCACTGCTCCATTTGTGCAAGTCTCAGGAAGGTGTAAGAGCCTATAAGCTGAACTACTGAGCTGGCAGTACCTATTGCTGCCTCTCTCACCCAGCAGCTGCGATCTGCTCTCTCCGAAACTGTCCTTGCAGATGGCACGAGCTGCATTTTCAGGGTGTGTTATGAGAATTTAGTCAGGCAGCCTCCAATTGACGTGTCTGGGAGTTGTTCTGATAAGTCTTCACCCTTTCCAATCTGCTTCGTATCTGGACAGAAGAGAGGGTAATGATAAAAAGCACTCTGGAGATTATTAAAGCTGTGCCTCCCAAATTACCACAAATCAGGATTGAAAAGAAATGCAGGAACCTCTTGTGTTTTAAACTAAGAAGAAGCAAAACAGCACACCTGGTGCTGTTGCACGTGCACCACAGCTACTCAGCAGCTCTTTAAACTGTGTATGTGACACTGGAATGGTTTCCTGGGAAAAATCTTGTCCCAGTCCATCCTTGCACGAGCACAAGTTGTAGCAGGCTAGTGAATATGTTGATGGCATCCTGGCTGCCTAGCAAAGGGGTATGTTGGACATGAAAGCATTCCTGTCCTCTGCAAAGGAGGAGCAGCTCTGTGACACAGGCTCTGCTCTCCTTGTCATTAAGGCACCAGTAGCATGTGAGCTCTATTCCTGACTTCAGAACTGACAGACCAAAACCTTGTCTGACTGATGTAAGGGAAAAGCCCTTCCTATGCTTGGGGCAGGCAAATTATCTTCCAGCTGCTTGCAAAATACTGCCCTGGCACAACCTACATACATAATATATTACTGCAGACTATCCTCAGAGAAACTCTGAAGGAAGAACCAGAAGAGATGGTGAAGGCATGACAGAAATCCCCTGATGGCACCACAGATTGCCATGGACTGTGAGTTCCTACTGGATCTCTGTTACTACCGAAGCCTGTCTAGTGCATGATCTCTAGCAGAGAGACCAGGCGGACAGAAGGCTGAAAGCAGAAATGGCACAGTTGTCTTCCTGCACATTCACATCCCTGGTGTTAACTCCCAACACACATCACCTCGTGGCAACAGAGCTACGTGTTCCATAGGTGCATGAGGCAGCACCTTCCAGTTCCTCAAATCAGTGTGGGCTAAGTCATTCCAGGCATTCTTCCACATGGCTAAGTTCAAGTTCATGCTTTCTGAAGCAAAGTGTTTCATACAACTGGAAAAGGAAGGAAATGAGAGCCACATGGTCTACACACTGTACCTGTTCAAGCCCACAGATTTTAGTCACCCTCTTGAGGTAACACCATAAATGAGGCTTCCACTTGAAAATAATTTAAATATCAAATTAACAGATTTCCACAACTAACACATTAAAAGAAAAATCTTGTGAATAGGTCATACTGTGCTGCAAACAAAATGGTAAATTTAGCCTCCTTTTTCCCATCTGTTCCCTGAACAGGCAGCTTGGCCGAGGACATAAGTCAGCTGAAGATTTCCCTGCAAGGACAAATACCTTTAAAGGAGTGCAGGTTATCTAAGTACAGATTGAACAATTAATGATACAGTAAGAATTGCAAAGCAGACCCAAGATATTTCACCTGAAATAGCAGGATTTGAGATGGAATTCCTGCCTTCAGTCGTGCCTTTGACTCCTGCACGGGGTTTGCAGCATCCACACCAGGAATTCTCATCGTATTTGGGTCCATTTAAGAAGAACTAATGGCCAAATTGCTGATAATCGAATTTCAGGGTGCTCCAAATCTGTGTGCAAACATCTCCTCCTGCTGCTCCAGTGCTTCTGCCTCACTTTGTGACACTTTATTGATTTTTTTTCCCCCTTCCTTTTCTTCCTCTCTGCGTGGAAACAAATTAAAGCAGGAATTGGGATTGTAAATAGATAATGGGACGTGAATGCAGAGTAATCAGTGCCAGCCATGTACAGCCATACTAATTGTGCCAGGGGAGGGAAAGGGATAAATATTTCATGCCTGGATTCAGTGGGAAGTGAGAGAGCAAGGAAAGAAATAAAAAAGAGTTGAGAAGGCCTCACTTCAGTGCTTTTTCTTCAAAAAGAGTTTTGATGGCATTAACCCCTCCTTGTTTTGAATTAAGGAATTTTGTTTAATGTGGAGGATTTGGTGTCACACAAGGGAAAAACATCTCAGGTTTGGGATGAATCCACCCTTCAAGGATGTGCTGATCAAAACCAAATCCAGGGATGTGGGACAGGAGAAGTTGAGCCTCATTCAGGCAGCTTTGCTTCATTCTTGTCTGGTTTTTATCTCAGGCACTTGAATTACAGCTGTGAAAGGGAAATTTGGCTCTGCATAGCTAAAGATTATTCCTGAGGGGTTTGCTGCTGCAGAATAAACAATGAAATGGCCCTTGAGGGGTGAAAACATTGAATTTAAGGGTGTTGTCATAAAAACCAGCCAGGAGAACTTACTCAGGATGGGTTTGGGGCATCCCATGTTTGATCTCAGCCCCAAATCTGGGTTTGGGGCATCCCTTGTTTGATCTCAGCCCCAAATCTGTTTGTTTGAACTCAATCTTTGAGAAAGTTTCCAATTCAGTGGGTTCAGCTGCCTTGGAGTTCCCCAAGGATGGCAAAAAGCCACAGAGGATCCATTTCTGCTCCACCTCATCCTCCTGAAAGAGCTGGGAACAGGGATGGAGAGAATCCATGGAGAAATGATTGGGAACAACCTTAAATCCCAGTTTTAAATCATCCCAGAGCACTTCAGGATCCAGGCACGGGATAATCCAGGGTTTGGATTGTACTGTAGGTGGCAGAGATGCTTTAGTTATGCACTAATCACCCTGCCAGCTCATTAAGGGACTGGGAGCGCAGGGATGCCATTAATTAACGCTGCCAATTCCAGCCTGAGGTCACCTCTGGATGGGCTGGGTGGCTGAAGGGCTCTTCAGGTGCTCCATGGGCTGCCAGGTCTGCTGCTAAATAATGTTTAATAATCAAATCTGAAATATCTTCCGGATGGAACAGATTCCCAGGATCCTTTTGCCTTTGTTAAAAAAGCAGGGGGTGTTGGGATGTCAAAAAAGAATGTTGGAATGGTAAAAATGGGGTGTTGAAATGGCAATAAAAGGTGTTAGATGCCACTGAAAGGTGTTGGAATGCCAATAATGGGTGTTGAAATTGCACTAATTTTTAAATAAGTGATAATTAGGGATTAAAATGATTAACTTTCATTAGCAGGAACACAGAGAGCATTGGTGTCCTCACCATGGTGAATGTCACCATTGTGGACCTCAGTCTCAGTCTGAAGTGTTGTTCCAGTCTAAAACTTGGTTTGGGACAAAACTCAGCCAGGAATTGTGATCTGGAGTTAAAAATGAAGCAAACAACATCATGTTTTAAAAGGAAATAAAATTATGAACAAATATGAAGGGCTGCTGCTGGGTTCTGGAGTTGTTCATTTGTGATCCTGGCTGGAATCTTCCTCAGGTTGGGATTGGTCATAAATAAAATAAAAAATAAGGATGTTCTTGCCATCCTTTCCCTTCCTGAGTTAAAATAAACAAGATTTTGGAGTGGGGTTAACCAAATGTGAAGAGATGAGCTTGGGAATGTTCTGTGCCTTAGGAAAAAGGACTGGGAACCTCTGTAATGACAAACATGGAGCCCTCAGCAGGGATTCCCATCAGGAATATGGGGCTGGAGGTAGCCCTGGAGTGGGGAGGGGGCTCTCCTTGGCTGTGTGGTACCCACAGAGGAGTTCCCAAAGTCCTGGGGGAGGATGATTGGCCTGGAGAGGGGGATTTGGGGTGTCCTGACGTGGTCCTGACGTGGCTGTGCTGCTTTGCTCTCTTGCAGGTTCACTGGGATGAATTTGCCTGCCCCTGTGATCAGCAGCAAAAATTGGCTGAGGCTGCACTTCACCTCTGATGGCAACCACAGGCAGAAGGGCTTCAGTGCCCAGTACCAAGGTAAGGAGGGAGAAATAAATGCCCTGGCCTGGCCTCACCCACCCCAGCCAGCCTCTTTCACCTATTCCACAATCATTCCAGTTTGATTTCCTCATTCCTCAATTTCACAAATCATTCCAGTTTGATTTCCTCATTCACCCATTTCACAACCATTCTGGTTTTATTTCCCCTTGTGGCCACCCTAGAAAACGACTCCAACTCTAATTAACTCTAATGGTTTATAAAAACATTGGTCTTGTAAGCCAAAGATTGAAGACTAGAGCTGTAAGGGGATAGAATATAAGAAAATAAAGATGGTGTAGAAAGAACATGGGTCTTTTAAGCCAAAGATTGAAGACTAAAGCTGTAAGAATATAAGAAAATAAAGATGGTGTAGAAAGTGATCTTGCCCCTAAGGAGTTGCAGCTGGGCCTAATTAGCAAAGATTAGGAACAGGCCCGACTTTAACAGGCCACAGCTGTAACTAATGAGGAGAAGAGTGCTATAAAAGAGTGGGTGGGTGGTTGAGAAGGGAATTGGGGTTAGTTGTCTGTTGTGGGAAGGAGAAAGAGTCACAGAGGAGCTCTGAGGAGATGTCCATGAGAAACACCAAGCAGGTATGGAACCTTTGTGATAGGAAGCAACAGCATGGAGCCCCTGTGATAAGGAGGCAACATAAACCCTTCTTAGAGGTTACCCCCCCATCTCAGGAAGAAAGGGCTCAAATCTTCTTTTCCAGCTCCCAAAGCTGATTTTAGGCTAAACTTCTTCCTACCCCCTAAACAACCTGAATTGCCCCTTGAGGTAAGGGGCACACACCAGCTCCAACACCACAAACAAGCCAACAACGACCCTCAGCCTCCATTTTAGAGTAACCCCAGCCAGGAATCCCCAGCTGCCTCCCTGCATGGTCCTGCTGCTGTTATTTTCCAGCTGGAATTCCCCAAAGTGTGGTGTTCATAGAAAAACCCAGCCTGGTTTGGGTTGGGAGTGACCTTAAAGCCTATCCACTGACACGTCCACTGTCCCAGGGTTCTCCAGGTCCCCTCATGGCCTTGGACATTCCCAGGGATTCAGGAGCTTCTCTAGGAAATCCATCTCAGCCCCTCCTCACCTTCACAGGGCAGAATTCAGGATTGGGATAAAGATTTCAGGATGGGGATGTTCAGGTGCTGTTGAGGGACAGGAGATCCTTTGGCAGTGAAGATTCTGCTCCTGGTGGGACCAGAATGGATTGAGTGGATTCCTTGGAGGTGTTCTCACCACTCCTGTGGTGTTTTTGAAGGAGGTTGTGGGTGCAGGATCCATGAGAGGGGGAATGAAGTTGGGAAGAAGCAGGAATGGTTTGAGTCCCCTCAGGGAGCTCCGCAGGTTTGTTCTCAAGAAGCCTTTGCTGGGAAAAAGCTCTGGAGAGGAGTCAGGGAGAAGGGAGAGGATTTTCTTTTCCTTGGATAAATCCACAGAGCTGCCTCGTTTGGGTGCTCTTAGCAGGGCTGTCATGGCCTCAACAAATGAACCACATCGTTATTTAACTTCCCTGCTTTCCTTGAACCTGTAAATCACTTTAAACTGCAAGAAAAAACAAGGAAAAAAGGACTTTAAACAAGGAAAAAAAAACCCTTTTGTTGTTGCTGTGCAGCATAAATGTCTGGAAAAAGCAGCTTCCCTGTGGATGGCTTTTCCATGGCTGTCAGGATTGCAGCTTCCACCAAAGCACCTGTCTTTGTCAGCCTTTCCCTGCACAGCAAAGTCAGGGTGAATGTCCCCATTCCCCTGCTCAGAGAAATGTCAGGGGGTTCTCATCTCATGTGCAGAGGGGATGGAGTGTTGGAAAATGAACTGAACTCCCCATTCTGAGCTGGAATCAGGACAGGACCTCAGCCCAGCTGCCAGAGGGACCTGCTCTCGTTTTCCCACTGTTTTTGTGGAGTTTGGCAGCTTCTTTCTGCCTTTCAATGCTTAAAAACCCAGCAAAACAAGCAGCCAAGCAGTGAAGATTCCCAGGGATGAAGGGAAGGTGTCTGCAGGCAGTGGGATCTGCAGGACAGGAGATGCTGAGACTTTAAAAACCTCCCTGTAACCCTTTCCACAACCTGGCCTGGCCATAAATATTTCAGTGGCGATAAATCCCTACAAAACAGGCCATGTAATTCCACAGCAAGCACAGCAGCTGAAATGCATTTTTCATCAGGAGAGCTGAATCAGGATCAGCCAGGAGAAGCAAGGGGAGGCTTTAGGGTGGCTCTAATTTGCTGTCTGTTTTCCAAAGACGTGTCTGTACATCATTTATGAACCCCCTGGGTCCTCTGGGACGGAGTCTGGCTTTGCTGATAATCTATAAGAAAACAATTTCCCTTCCAGCTTGTTTAAATTGATCCCGAGTTTTGCAGAACACCTTCCCTGTCTGTTCCCCCTCTGCTCTCCCTAATCCGTGCCCTCATTTGGAAATCACTTTAGGAATGTAAAAGCAAGGTTAGATGCAATCAGGCTGTGGAGAGGGTTTTTGTTTTTGTTTTTGTTGTTGAACACAGCAAATTCATTTTGTTCCCTTCCTGGGAGAGTTAAATATTTCCCTTTTCCCTTTCATTAAGGTGAATCTTGATTTTTGCAAATGTTTTTTCCCCATTCCCCATGTAAGGAAGTCAAAGGGACTGGGAGAAATGTGTGCAGAGAATTATTCTTAAAAATTATTTTTTATTTTCCTCCCCATCCTGTCTCCTCAAAAAGGTGGAAGAAAATAATCTACAAGTTTTTAATCAGGTGAGGTGGCAGCACCTCAGTGTCCCCCCCATCAGAGGAGCTGGGTGGGAATTTATAAAATCAGAAGGTTTTGGGAAAGCTGCAAAGGCTGGAATTGGAGAGATGGGAATGCTGCCCTGGCTGCTGCCCCTCTCTGCACATGTTTTATGGCAGAACTTGGCTCCCTAATTGCTCTGGAGCTGATTGGTACCAACACATAATTGCAGCTTTTATCGATCTCCCCGCCCCGGCCGCTTCCCTTCCCCGCAGGAGGAAGATAAATGGGATGAGCTCCAGCCCTGCACAGGACAGAGCTGCCTCCTTCAGGGAGGGGCTGGGGAGCTCCCTGCTGCTCGCCAGAGACACCTAAATGGCTTGGTGAGGGAGTCATGGAGTCTTGGAATGGTTTGGAATGGGTTTAAATCCCACCCAGTTCCACCCCTGCCGTGGGCAGCGACCTCCCAATGTCCCAGGGTGCTCCCAGCCCCATCCATGGCTTTGGTCTACAGATCTGTCCATGGGTAGATCTGTGGTTCTACCCATGGATGGATCAGTTTGGCTTGAGTTTGGACAGATCTTCGTCCCTCTTTGTCCTGGATCTCCCACTGCTCATCTTGGATCTTCCATTTCTCATCTTGGATCTTCTACTCATTATCCTGGATCTTCCCCTCTTCATCCTTATCTCTCACTGCTCATCTTGGATCTTCTACTCTTTATCCTGGATCTCCCACTGCTTGTCTTGGATTTTCTATTTCTCATCTTGGATGTTCTACTCTTTATCTTGAATCTCCCACTCCTCATTTTAGATCTTCCCCTCCTTGTTTTTGATCTTCCCCTAATTTTCAATCTTCCCCTTTTCATGTTGGATCTTCCATTCCTCACCTTGGATCTTCTATTTCATTTCTTGGATGTCCTACTGCTTATCTTGGATCTTCCCCTCTTCATCCTGATCTTCCATTCCTCATCTTGGATCTTCCACTCTTTATCCTGATCTTCCATTCATCATCCTGATCTTCCATTTCTCATTTTGCATCTTCTCCTTTTCATCTTGGATCTTTCCCCTCCTCATCTTGGATCTTCCATTTCCCATCTTGGATCTCCCCCTCCTCACCCTGGATCACACCCTTGGGTTCCAGAGGGATTTTTGCCTCCTTCCATGTGACCTGTGGAGTCTCCAGTGCAATTCTGGATAATCCCAGTGCTTGTGCAGGCTCTGATTCCCAAAATCCATTGCTCAGGCTGCCAGAAGAGGGATTTTTCCAAAGAGTTTCATTTGAGGGGGTTTCTCTTCACCTCCAAGAACCCCTGTGAGCATCCTGCTGCTGAACCATCCCAGCAGGAGGGAGAGATCCAGGCAGGATTTGGATTTAACAGCAATTCCCCCAACAAGGAGAGCAGAGCTTCATGGAATAGTTTTTTTTTTTCCTGTTGCTGTTGCTGAAACACTGTTTTCCAAATTAAAAATAAATAAATGTCTGCTTAAATCCTCATTTAGAGCAACATGAAGTGGTTTGAAAGGAACAGCCCGGCCTGCCTGCCATGCTGGCAGAGCTTTGTAATGTCATCTCTCAAATCTGACAGGATGCTGAGTATTCC